AGACATTTTTAACCATAATTAAATAACTTATAATTTAGCTTTTATCCCAGATCCTCCTTCTACCCCATAATTGTTAGATGTGATCTCTTGAAAGTATCTCAGACTTGGAAATTGAGAGCATGTTCATTAATTTTTTGTCTTTATCTATATCTGAGAATATTATTATCTGGACTTTGTAATCGCTTCTGAAAATTCATTCTTTTACATGTTCTTGTCTGGTTTTGGTGCTTTCTGAAGCAATTTTTATTTGATTGTTTCTTTCATCTCCAGAATTTTGGTTTGGTTCTTTTTCAGTGCTGCAACTCCCTCTGTATTTTATTTTTAACTTTCTGTTTCATTCGCTCTGAAGATTGTCTTGTTAAGGCCCTGAATCTATCTCCTAAGTTCATTCACATGTTTATTTGAGTTTTCTACATGGCCAATTATCTTTTCATTCACTTTACATCTCAATTGCTGCCCCAATTCCTAGTCACCCCCTCATACAATCCCTCTCCTTCCCCTCCCATTCTCCTCTGAGAGTGTGGAGGCCCCCCTGGGTATCCCCTAACCCTGGCAGCTCAAGTCTCTTAAGGGCTAAAATGCATCCTCTCTCCTGGAGGCTAGGCAAGACAGCCCAACTAGAACATATCCCACGGGCAACCAGATTTAATCAAAAAAGACAGGGAAGGACACTTCATAAAAAGGAAAAAGTATCTACCAAGATGACACTTTAATTCTGAGCAATTGAAGTAGAGGCTGTCTCAAAAGCCAGTGATCCTAGTAAAGGTAGGATTCTGGAGTCTTTCTCAGACAGTTCAACTATACTCGTATTTTTTTTATTCCATTAGAGGGGAATTGAGAGGTTAGGAATCTGACCAAGATTGAGAGCAGCACAAATCTACAAATATTTAGACAGTATTTTGACATGCTCATCTGATGAAACAACAGTAGATCTACTCTACACATACCATGGCCTATGACCTACTCAGTGATAGACTTTTGACTAGGTTTATATTACCATTCATGAAATATCTCCTTCAAATTCAACTAAAAAGTTGTTCATTACTCCGTAAACGTTATGCTACTATTATACCAGTGGGCATATCCTGCCTCACAAGTTGGTATTGTAATATTCAGGGTTTACAGCTAGTTAAGACCATGAGTGTCTTTTCTCCTCTTGCAGCCTATATAGCACCTTCCAGCTCTATGAAAGGTAACCAGCAGAGAGTTTCTTGATCAGTTGAGGTTGATTTTTCTATGTCCTGTAAACCAAGTGAATAGTGTCTTCAGGAATAGAGTCTTATCATATAGTTACAGTGAGTAACCAAGATCAATAACAATAGTCAATATTTTTGGGTTGCCTTCAGAGCCCCCTGCTAATAATTCATAAAGAGATATCCCATGTCTGACACTGAGTCTTTAATTTAATAACTTATGTCTTCTAGGGGCAGCATCATCTACCTATGCAAGTATCCTCTGTTCAAACCCTCTTTTAAAATATATTATTCCTAAAAATTATCTTTAAAACTACTAAATTTTAATAAGGCTTCTCCACACATCCTTAGCTTTGAAGTGATCGAGAAATTACTAAATCAAGAGAAATAAGATACACATTGTGGAAGGAAGGCAATTAATTATAGAAAAGAAAGGGGTTCCCAATAGAAAGCTGGTTCAGAAAGCATCCCTAAAAATCCATGAATCTCTTCCATTCAGACTGGAAACACAGAGCAGGAGAATGGCTGACCAAAGGTTAACTTCAATGGGCTATCATAGATAGAGCTACCCTATTTATATGGTAGGAATCATATAACAGGAAGTTACATGCAATTTCTCCCTCCCTTCCTGAGACAAAACACTGCTGTGATACCTGGATTTAGAAGTCAGGAAGACTGTAAGTTCCAGACCATCCAGGGCTGTATAGTGAGACCCTATTTCAAAAAGGACTGGAGGAGGAATGAGGGAGGGGGATGGAGGGATGGAGTGACAGAGAGGGGAGGGAAGTGTGTAGCACTCAGAGCCACCAATTAACTTGTAAGAAATATACCACCTAAGAGAAAATATTCACAAGCCACTTGTCAGAGAGCTTTCCATTTCTGTGACAAATACATGAGAAAACAAATTTATAAAGAAAAAAGGTTTGCTTCTATCTTGTATCGGTTTGTGTGTGTGTGTGTGTGTGTGTGTGTGTGTGTGTGT